CACGAAGAACCCCAATAAACCCCCATTCCCCCAACCCTCCCAATGCCTGTGAGGCAGATGAATTCTAGTTAACACTCTATCTACTTTGACTAGATTCATTATTTCGATAAAAGATGCACCATTGTTATTTAGAGTTTACACCACCAAATCAGACATGTTTAAAAGGCATTGTGAAATGATTTGCCTTCTACAGCTGGGTTCAAGAATTAAATGATGTTGCGCGGCCGCTATTGTGGCCACGCGGTTTTGGATTTTTGCTATTTTACTTATTAACGCTGGAAGTATTTCTGCTGAGAGTCAGATAATTAAGATATTGGTTTCTGTGCTCTGGAGCCATGGCCGTGCCGGAGAGCCGCTCGTGGGGGGCAACTGGTGACCTCGGTAGGGCGTGAAGGATGAGCTGGGAATGCCCCCCCTTCCCATGAGGCTTTAGTTGCCCCACCATGACCAGCTCATACCTGGCTTTCCACAAAGTTCCCAAGCGGCTGGGACATGCATTCTTTTTAAAAGGATACAGTGTTGGGACTGGAGCAAGAGTACAGTGGTTAATTATAGCATTTGCCTTGCACACGGCAAACCTTGGTTAAATTCCCAGCATCCCATCTGGTCCCCCAAGCACCGCAAGGAGTAATTCCTGAGTGCAAAGCCAGGAGTAACCCTTGTGCATCACTGGGAGTGACCAAAAAGCCAAATAAATGAATGAATAAATAAAAGGATACAGTATCAAATATTTTATGTCTGGAAAGATATTCTAAACATAAAATGCTATTTTGATTTTTAAATGCACATGTGTACATCAGTTTAATAGCGATTATTTTGGGGTTATAGTAAAATTTTAGTTTTCTTCTCTAAATGCTCTATAATAAACTTGTCTTTATAGTATATGTGTCATTTCAAACAACTATGTAAATTTTAAGTACTTATACAAGAAGTAGTTTCATTAAAGTTTTAAAAATACACAAGTAGATAACATAAATTTTGACAAGTTTTTCCTTCCTCTCCTGAGACTCAAATTCTTCTCCCTTTCCAAGATGTAACTACTGTAAGGAATTTGATATATTGTTTCTACATATATATTTTAAGTGTGTATATACTTTAAAAATTTTGTTCATAAATAGGATGATACTCCATGAATCCACAAAACCATGATCCACATAATCAGTTTGTAAATATTTACCATGTTTCTCTTTTGTTCTTTTGTTATTATAAGAAATGCTTCGATAAACATCCTCTTGCATATTTTGATTTTACAGGTGCAAATATTTATCTAGGATAAAAAAACAGAAAATGAAGGGATAGGTTGATGAGAACTTAAAAATCACATAGACTGTTCAAAGGTTAAGTTGGTTAAATTAGAGAATTTTTATCCTCATCAACAGCTGATATTACCCATCTTCTTCAAGTTTTGGTCAAAGTGGCTGCTTTTTTTATCACCCACCCACCTTTTGCTTTGCTGTGTATATTAGCTTTTTTCAGATTACCAGTGCATCTGAACATCTTTGAAAGTACTCATTGGTTATTTAATTTCTTCTGTCAACAGCCCATTTTTGATTTCTGGTTTATACCTTCTCTGTGTTCAGTGACACTCCTTGTATTTGAACATTACATTTATTTTTTAGATGTGATGCAATTATTTTCCTTTGACATATTTCCTTTCCTTAAAAAAATAACATATTATTTACATATGCTAAGTTTTTACAAAATCTACCTTCATGCTAATTTTTGGAAATTTTGTGTTTCCAGTTGTATAGAAGTTTTAATTTACTGTCAATTTATATTATGAACTTTAGATTTTTTTCATTGTTTATGAATGGCTTCTACAGATCAAATTTAGGATGTTCTTTTATATTTTATATATATAATTTGTAGGTGCTTAACTTTATACTTGCTTTTCAGTCTATTTAAAATTTAGTTTTACATTTGATGTGTTTGGTTTATTTTTTTCTATGTATAGTTAATTGCCTCAATGATATTTTCTCACTCATCTGAAATATGGTTTTTAAACATAAATTAAATTTATATTAGTTTATTTATGAGCCCTTTGCTTTTTCCTTTAACCAATGATCTATTTTTGCATCAGTATCAGTATTTTACTGATCAGAAGTTTATATTAGATTTTATATATATGATAGTATTTTTATATCTCCCCTAACCCCTCCATATCAAATAGTTCCTTAATGGTCTCAGTTGACTTTCAGTCAATAAATAACCGGGAATCAACTTGTCAAGTACCATGAAAAATACTGGTAGTTTGGAATTATTTTATGCATAATTTGAAGAAAACTGACATTTTTAGAGTGTTGGGTTTCCCAATCCAAAAATATGGTATTTATCTCCATTGATTCTTTTGTGAATGTTTAGCAGTTTATTTCACATAGCTGATATACATTTCTTATTAGGTTTACTGCTAGAATTTATCTATTTCATGTCATTTCTGGGATATAAGAAATCCATTGATTCTTCTTCACTTATCTTTAGCTATTTTGCTAAATTCTCTTATTAGTATTTGAAAGTGCTGATTTTTTTAAATGAACGATTATGTGGTCTCAAACAATGACACTTTTGTCCATGTTTCCCATATTTATTATTCCCATTTCTTTTCCTTTTCCTATTGCATTTATTCTTAGTGTAATGCAAGCAGTAATTATAGTGAGAATTTTATTCCAAATTTAAAGGAAATGTTTGTATTATTGCTATAGATTTCTTACAGAGAAATTATTGAATTTACAAAGTTTACTTTTATTCTTAATTTACTAATTAAAAAACTGTTTCATGAGGAATGGTACTGAGTTTTAGTTTTATTTTTTACATGGAAGCTATTTATAATTACCTTTTCCTCCTCTATTAATCTGATAATTTATAGCATTAAGTTATTCTTAAATTCCTGAGTTAAATCCTAATTGGACATGAAGCAATTTATCTTTTGGGAGAGGTAAGGGGACCCACATCTGGTGGTGTTTAGAGATTACTTCTGGCTCTTGCTCTGTGCTCAGGGATTACTCCTAGTAGTGCTCAGAGGACCAAATGTGGTGCTGGGGAACGGAACTAGGGAGGGATGTCCACATACAAAGTAAGCATCTAAGCTCATGCACTATCTCTCCAGACCCATTGCTTAGATTTGGATTCGGTTGAGTAGGCTGAGTTAGAAAGCCTTAGCTCTTTCTCTGTTCTAGAGAAAGATATACTACTTTTATAATTTATGATGATTATTTTTTATATATTCATTTTCTTATCTTGTGGCTACCCCTGGTGGTGGGGGCCACTGGACACACCTTACAGTGCTGGGGAGACATATGGTGTGGGAATATTGAACTTAGGGCTTGCACACTCTAGACATGTGCTTTTACCACCTGAGCTATCTCTGCCACCCCAATGTTTTACATATTTTATTAATTTTCTAAAACCCTATAATTGGAGTGTTTTATTGATTGAATCTACTTATTTAATTTCCATTAATTTGTTTTGATCTTATTATTATATACTTCTTCTAGGACTTGCTTCCCCCCCCCCCTTCTTTAAGCCGAGCCCTTAATTAGTTCCTTTAAAAATACTTATTCTTTCACAGGGGCACGTTGGAGGAGGGGTGGTGGTGGCAGATTGAGTTTCCCTCCGCGCCCCAAGCAGAATCCTGGCAGGCGAAAACCTCCAGAACCCAACCGACACCATGCTCAAGGCCACCCTCCACATGCTCGGACGAGCCTAAACCAAGTGAGATACAACAAAAAAAACCCAGGTATGCAGGCCCCGTGACTGAGACCTCCAAGCCTGCTCAGATCGGAACTGGGCCTCCTCCCCCAGCTCCCCAGTTTTCCAGTAGCTAGGCAGTCACACCCACAAACTGTCCCTGACACCATGTAATCTCATCAATGGTCAAGACCCAGAGACTATAAAACAGAGCTCCTGGAAGAGAGGGGCACAGAATTTCCTGGAGTGTGCGGCCACATTCGCAGCTACATGACCTCTTATACTCTAGCTCACTTATGTACCAAAAGTAGCACACATTTGTTCGGTTTTAACATACTTGCTTGTATTCTCTTATAAACAGGCTTAAATGACTCCAGAATGAAATACAACAACATACAACAACCTTCACATACTTCCTTCTTATTGTGGTGGGAAGGTGCTAGGTGATGGGATTGGTGTTTAAATATTATCCGCAATGAACTATTGTGAACTACTTTATAAAAATAAAATATAAAAAAATTGCAAAAAATAAAAAAAGTATTCTTTTCTAATAAACGCAGTTAAGATTCTAAGGGGCTGGAGCAATAGCACAGCGGTAGGGCGTTTGCCTTGCACGCAGCCAACATGGCCAACCCGAGTTCGATTCCTCCGCCCCTCTTGGAGAGCTCAGCAAGCTACCGAGAGTATCTCGCCCGCACGGCAGAGCCTGGCAAGCTCCCCGTGACGTATTCGATATGCCAAACACAGTAACAACAAAGTCTCCAATGGAGACGTTACTGGGCCCGCTCAAGCAAATCGATGAACAACGGGAGGGCCTTTACTTTACTTTACTAAGATTCTAAAACTTTCTCTAAAAATCACTTAATCTAATTCCACTAGATTTAATATGTTGCATTTCTATTGGCTTCTGTTTTCAAATAATCTGTGATTTGGGTCAATACCAATAAGGATGGGTAATTTTTTCCATGCAATGAGATGTGGTGAGAGTAGCCTTGAGCTCTTCATTTCTATTCACTTTTTTTAAAATTACATTGTGGTCAGAAACTTGTTTGGTATACAATTTCTGCTGTTCTGTGTAGCACTGTAATAGCACTGTCCTTCTGTTGTTCATTGATTTGCTCCAGCGGGCCCAGTAATGTCTCCATTTTGAGACTTGCTGTTACTGTGTTTGGCATATCAAATATGTCACGGGTAGCTTGCCAGGCTTTGCCGTGCGGGCGGAATACTTTCAGTAGCTTGCCAGGCTCTCCGAGAGGGGCAGAGGCTTGGCCAGGACGATCACATGCAAGGCAAACGCCCTACTGCTGTGCTATTGCTCCAGCAATGGCCGAGTGGTTAAGGCTTTGGACTTAAGATCCAATGGACATATGTCCGTGTGGGTTTGAACCCCACTCCTGGTAACTGCTATTCTATAATTTGTTAAAATTTTCCTTACAGTTTTATACCTGGATAAAGTCTAAGAAATTTCCATGGCTGTTTGAAAATAAGTTATATGCCTTTGATATAATAGTTGATAAGAACCATTTAGAAAAGGTTTGGTTGTATAACTGGGAGTATGGGCATGGGGCCATACCTATTTAGGGGGATACTCCTGACTCTGTGCTCAGGGGTCACTTATAGCTGTGCTGAGGATTGAGCAGGTCAAACGCCCTACCGCTGTGCTATCGCTCTAGCCTCTCTCTCATATGTCTCTCATATGCTGGTGAATTCCTTTGTATAGGGAAGAGGCTGAGTTATATAATGTAGTAACTCTAAAGGAAAGGTCTGTGGGTGGTAAACTTCCAAGTCTTATAGTATCTGAAAATGTCCGTTTTTCATCCCTTTCACGTCAATGTTAATTTGGCTGAGAATGAAATTCTATATTTAAAAGAATTTTCCCTCATTATTTTTGGTTATTATCTCACTGTATTTTGACATCACAGTCATTTGGCCTTAGTAATAAGAGATAATGCCAAGCTATTGTTTATTCCTTTGTAGACCATTTGTTCTTGTCTTTATCCTTCATAGTCTGAAGTTTTTCTTTATCTGTGGAATTCTGATATGGATTTCTTCAAGCTAATATTTTTTTCTTTAGATATAGGAAAATTTTTCCATTATTTTTTTTATTATTTCCCTTCATCTCTGTTACTTTTCAGGAATCTTCAAAATTTGTGGGTGGGGGGAGTAGGAGCAATTGGTGTACTAGGACCTTACAGTGCTGGGGATCCAATCTGGGGTTCCTGCAAACAATGCATGCATACCAACCCTTTAAGCCATCTCCCCTACCAAGATTCTTTCAATTTTCTGAACAGATTAGGTTTTTCTTCTTGTCAACCCATATTTTTCTCCATGTTGTGACTCTGGAGGGAGAACAAGCTAGGCACACTTGAAAAAAGTATTTTTAACTTTGGTACATCTACACAATGGACTAATATGCAGCTGTTAGCAAAGATGAAGTTATGAAATTTGCTTATAAGTGGATGGCCATGGAGAGTCTCATACTAAGTGAAATGAGTCAGAAAGAGAGGGACAGACATAGAATGACTGCACTCATTTGTGGAATATAAAATAACATAATATGAGACCAACACCCAAGGACAGTAGATACAAGGCCAGGAATATTGCCCCATAGTTGGAAACCTGGATCATGAGCTGGAGGAGAAGGCAGCTGGAATAGAGAGGGGATCACTAGGTCAATGACGGTTGGAGAAATCATTTGGAATGGGAGATGTGTGCTGAAAGTAGGTAAAGGACCACACGTGATAGCCTCTCAGTATCTGTATTTCACACCATAATTAATACCCAAAAGTAGAGAGAGAGAGTATGGGGGTAACTGTCTGCTATAGAGGCAGGGGGACGGTTTGAAAGGGGATGTAATACAGGGGACATTGGTGGTGAAGAATGTGCACTGGTGGAGGGATGGGTGTTTGATCATTTTATTAAACTCAAATATAAAAAGCTTTGTAACTGTATCTCACGATGATTTAATAAAAGAAATAAAGAAAAAAGAAAGAAAGGAAGAAAGAAAGAAAGAAAGAAAGAAAGAAAGAAAGAAAGAAAGAAAGAAAGTCTTTTGTACAGAGTCACCATCAGCTATGTTGCAAGCCATTTGCATTGGAGCTTGGGGGTTTGTGGGGCCAGGGATTGAATTCTAGGCATATGCTCTATCCCTAGCCTCATGTCACAATTTAATTTTTTAATTTTAAATTATAGTTTAGGTGATGTGGTTATAGCAGTGTTTGAGTTCAAAGTTCACTGCCACTGCCACTGTACTGGGTGCTTCTTCCACTGTCCTTATGTCATCACTGCTCTGATCTCCATTTCCCCCCATCCCCTACTGTTTGTTGACTGACAGTTAGAGTTTTGTTGTATGCAAGAGTCATCTCACCTTACCACCACCAAAAATACCTAAGACTCTCCACAGATATTTTGTGGATGGGATACTTCCCATCTACTTCATCATTCTTTTCACCCCTCCTGTAATCCAGTGTCCAGGATTTATTATTAATTTGATAGTGTCTATACCCTTGACTTATTTCTCTATATGCCACAGATGAACAAGATCATTCAGGATTTGTGCATTCTTCTGTTTTGGACATTTGGATTGTTTTCATATCTTGGCTATTGTACTAAGTGCATCTATTTTTTTAAATTAATGCCTTTGTGTTTTGGAAGTAAGTACTAACAAGTGGGGTAGTTGGGTCAAATGGGAACTTCATTTCTATTTTTTAAAAGAAATCTCTATATTGTTTTTCATAGAAGCTGACCCAGATGACATTCCCACTAACAGCAAATGCATTTCTTTTTCATTACATCCCTGACAACATTGGTTGTGTCCAGTCTTTTTGATATATGCCATTCTCACTTGCATGAGATGACAGCTCATTGTCATTTTGATTTGTGTTTCCCTGATACTAAGTGATGAAGAAAAGTTTTTCATATGTTTATTAACTGCCCATATGTCCCCTTCATGATGTTACCCCCATCTTTCAAAGTACCATTAAGGAAAGTTAAAAAAATAAATTTTATAGCTCCTAATGTGATCGATTTATATCTACTTTTTCCTCAGAGAATTTTGTTTTTCTATATTTGGATATGTGTGTTCTCTTAGATAACTTTATAAATTTCACTAATTTACTTATCCCTACTTTTTTGCCTGGAATTGTTCTAGGTCCTGAGCATCCCAAAGTTAAAAAAATAGAGATGAGTTTACAGTCTGGCATATTTTCTTATACTTGGTATTCTTTTAATTTTTACTGAATAATATTTTGTTCTGGAAGGCCTGGATCCCAAGAGAATTTTTATAGCATCTCTGACTTCTGCCTACTAGTCTTCAGTAGCATTCTCCTTTCTGTGTGATAATTTTTTTTAAATCTCTGATAGTCCCCGGGTGGAAAAAAGTGTGCCATCTCCCCTGGGAACCATTATTCTAGTAGGGAAATAGCTAATACATTATGAGGAGTGTGCTATTGGAAGGATGTATACAGTGAGAGTATTGGCACCATGAGGGATTACGAACCTTTTCAGGATTCAGGAAATGTTCACAGAAGAAGACAGTTGGTCTAAATCTAAAGGAAAAGTGAGATGTTTTTCAGATAAGCAAGGAGTAGTAGAAGAAAGAACTGTAATATTAAAGAAAACAATTTCATTCAAAGACAGAAATGGTGAAACAGTTGATGCATTTAGAAAACACCTAATACAAGGTTGGAGTATTGGTCTATGCCTTGAACATAGATTTGAGGACTTTGTGACGGGAAAAGAAAGCAATAAAGCTGGAGCAGTTGTCAGGGAAAAGGGATGTGTAAGCTGTGATCAGAAAATGTGGACTTTATTGTAGAATAGCGATACAAATTAATAAAGATGCTGGGGAAATAGCATTTCAGAAAGGCAGTATCAGAATGATTTGGGAGGAAGTGAAACTGGGAAGGAGAGATTGGTTAGAAGACAATGATAACAGCTAAATTAAGGACATAAACCAGGGCACATGGAGTTGGCACTGTGAAATGCCATAGCAATACACAGAAGTGAGAATGGGTACGATAGTGACCACCGAGTTATAGAAAATAAGGAATACAGGGGAGTTAAAAACGACGTCAGATTTTCTTGAAAGAGTTAGTAAAGTGGGGACGTTTTTTCCTTTTGGGGGCCACACCCAGAGGTGCTCAGAGATTACTCCTAGTGGCGCTCAGGGGACCATATAGGATGCAGGGGATTCAGTCAGGGTCAGCCACGTGCAAGGCAAGTGCCCTAACCACTGTGCTATCGCTCCGCCCCCTGGGGAATGTTCTGAGTGAACTCTGGTTACAGGCAAAGTAATTTTCAATGAAAATCCTTCAGACAACCCCCATCCCCACTCCCAGTATTTTTCTGATTCATGGGTTTTAAACACAAGTAAATCGTCAGGTCTTTAGAAAATCAGAACCAACCCCCAGCCACTCCTCCACCCCCCCCCCCCCCACACACACACACATCCAAGTCTCTCTTTTTTTTTTTTTACTAGCGGTATAAAAACAGACCACTATAGTGATAAACTGACTTACGTTCCAAGAGCAACATAAATGCCAGCTAATTCGAAGGAAGGAGGCTTTCTCAGTGCTGCCCTGGAAGCGCTATGGGGCTGAGGACCTCTGCTGTTGAAAACGCGCATAACCCCAGTGGCAGACAGCGGAGTTCAGAAAAATATACACTGCGCGTGGGCCAGCTATTAAGCCCAGAAACCCTTTCCAGGGGCACTGGATGGCTGGGTCACAGAGCCCTGCGCCCCGGCTTACCGGCAAAATGTGGATATCCTCCTCTCCTGACACGATTTCTTTATTTCTAGGGGCCTCATGTCCTGGTGCTGTTTTCTGGCATAGGTATGATTTTGGAGTCTGATGACCAGTGGTGTTTTTTTTGAGGCTGGTCCCATTTTCCCTCCATCACCACCAGCCCCCCTCTGCCCCCTCCAGGTTTTTCTGGGGGCACAATTCTAAGGGGAATTTAGTTTTCACAATTTAAAGCCACTAGGCATTGGAAGCAATGTATAAACAATCACCCATCTCCCAGTGTGTGCCTTCATCCCTTTAGAAAGGGCTGCTTCCTTCACCCATGTCCTGCCTCCAGAGAGAAGCACTCCCTCTAAAATGGTTCATGCTAATAAATGTAAAACTGATCATAGAAATATCCCCCTCCTTTCTAGCATGTGACCTGGACCCAGATGGTGAAACAGTGACTAAGAGCAGCAGATTCTCCTCCAATTTACTCCCCCACAAAATCTGAATCCACAAGATGTTTGATTCTGCCAAGCCACTTAGCTGAGGATGCACATTTTCCTTCAGATTGTTTCACAGTCACAGGCGATTTTAACAGCATAGTTTTTGTGTTTCTGCTGGATCACACTCAGCAGTACTGGGGGCTGCTCCTGGCTTGGTGCTTGGGAGGGT